AGCATTAAAAGCATTGACGCCTTAGCCGGTTTGGCTCAGTAGATGTGGACGAAAGGGTCCCAGGTTTGATTCCAGTCAAGGGCACATGCCAGGGTTGTGGGCTCCATCCCCAGGAGGGGGCATACAGGAAGCAGCTGATCAATGATTCTCATCACTGATGTTTCTCTCTCTCTCCCTCTCCCTTTCTCTCTGAAATCAATAAAGATATATATATATTTTTAAAGCATTAACAATTTCCATGTTGTCTTGTTTAAATTCAAGGCAGGCTACCTGATTCTCTAACAATATTTTGATGATATCATATGATAAAAAGGAATTTTAAAATCTAAAATATTAAAAATAATCATCAGTGCCATGTGAGATAAATATTATTGATCAATGTTTAAAAATAATTTCAATTATGTTATTTTAAAGATTTGTTTTATCTTTGGTAGTAAATATCTGTAATTTTTTTAAAGTCCCGTCTTCTTTAGATACAACAAAAGGTATTACATTTTATTTATTGTTTTATTTTTTCTTTAGGTGCTCACAATCTTATTAAAAAATAATGACACAGATCCTAAAATGTTCCAAATGCTACCTTTTGGGTACATTTCAAACATCATGTGTCAGGCACTGCTCAGAGCTAAGATAACACTACTGGGAAGAATGAGTAATAGCCAAAAATTTGGCTCACTCCTAACCCTGACTTCTTGGAATGGTGAGCCTGCATAAAAAAAGAACAAAAACAACAACTCACACATGAAATAAAACAATTCTCTGATGTTTTGTTTTGTACTTATACTTCAAATATGGAAAAGAAATTCTTCTTATAAAAAAAAACACAAACAGTAAAAAGCAACAAAAAAACCATTAGCAACAAGTTTGGGCTCATAAAAAAAATTAGGCAACTTTTTTTTTCTTAAGCAAAGCATTAAATGGCAAGATAAAAATAAATCAGTTTGTAAGCCCATAGAAATTCCATGGATTTGTGCCTTTGGATGTGAATCACAAGTCTAATGGCAGGTACACTCTGTGTAGCTTCAGGGATGGAACAGACTGCGAGTCTCCCCCGCTGTCTTCAAGCTTTCCTCTGCATCTGGCCCAAACTCCGTGTGTCCTGCCGCACGTGGAGGGTCCCAGCTGTGTTTAACCGGTATGATCATCCATCCTTTCTTAGCATCCTTGATTCTCTCTGCCGCCTAAGCTAAAATCTGGGACAACGCATCCGTGTGGGGAAAGGCACTGGGGAACCTCGGAATTATTGATCATTGCCAAACACTGTGTTTTTATAGATAAGAGACATGAAGCACAACCAGGCTGGAAATCTGGCTCAGAATTACCCATTTATTAAGCCTCAGAGTGAAGCTTCTCAGGTCATCTCTCAAACTGTGGAGAGACATTTCTCCATGTACCTGTCACATGTCTGCACATTTTGGAAACAGAGGCACTGACCACCTTTGCTCTGGACTATCTTTTCAAAGACGCCTAGATAGCAGACATAATAGCTTTGAAATATAAAGATCGTGTCTCCCTCCTGAGCAAAGAGAAGGTTTTGTCCAATATAACAAAACTAATGTCTCCCTTTGGGGCAAAGGGCAGGCATGCTCGCTGCCCGTTTATAGAACAGGCAAACTCCCTAAGCTAGGAGCTCCTCTCTTGAACCACAAACCACTAAGTTTACAAGTGTCAGCTGTCTTCTTCACATCGCCCGATGGGGACTGGGCTCAGTGAACCGGGACAAATGCTGATAGCCTGACTGCAGCCACTGCTGTAAATTATAGAGTCATTTTTCTCTGAGTCAGGAGCCTCCTGTCTCCTGCCAGCACCCAGGACAGACTGACTTGTGAGCTTGGAAGGGAGAAGAAATCTCAGACCCTTCATACTTTTTGACAGAAACCTAAAATTTTAGTGATAGTCACTCATATAAAAAGAAAAATAATACTAAGCACTAAGAGGCCTGTTGCTTGATTTTTCAAATCTAGGGTGATCCAGTTACCATTTTTTAAGCATTATGTTAGGGATAATATGTAATATTTTATATTCTTCAAATCAAATTTTATATATATACACGCACATATTACTTTATTTTTAAAATTTCATTTATGAAATGGTTACATTATCCTCACCCAACAGCAACCTGAAGTTAAGTCACATAGCTAATAGGTGGCAGAGCTAAAATCTCTGGTTTCAAAATTTTGTTTTGCCTTCCTCCAAATAAAACACAGCTTTAAATGGCATGGGCCATTTCGGTTTTAAATGAAATGGCTAAATTGTGTCATATTGTGTTTAGTTTGATAATCTTACCTTTTTAATAGAACTACTGTAGATGTTTAGGCACTGACATGTTGCTATCTAATATGCATTCAATATTAAATATTCAGTATTCAGAACAGATACAATGTTATTAATACTGAGTTTACATTATATACTATATAGTCACAGAAAAAGTCTACCACAAAAGCTGTTCTTTATATAGTTTAAATCATACAACCATGCTGGAGACATATTCTTTTAAAGCTACACAGCTAAGAAAACATGACAAGAGAAATAATTCCATTTAAAAAGCTATATATCCCATAAACTATCTTGTTAGTCATGAAGATAAATAGAAAATAACACACTAGACAGAGTGGAGAAAGGACATATATCGAGAACTTACAAATGTTCTTAAGAATAAAAAATGTTTGCCCAGCCTGTGTGGCTCAGTGGTTGAGCGTCTACCTATGAACCAGGAGGTCGTGGTTTGATTCCCCATCAGGGCACATGCCCGGGTGGCGGGCTCGATCCCTAGTGTGAGGTATGTGCAGGAGGCAGCCCATCAATGATTATCTCTCATCATTGATATTTCTATCTCTTTCTCCCTCTCTCTTCCTCCCTGAAATGAATAAAAAAATATTTTTTAAAAGAATAAAAAATGTTTAAAGCAAAAGAGGAAAATGTCTTAATTTTATGAAAGCAAAAATAAAATATAAACTAATAAACTGGTAATCCATTTCTGGCTATAAATGCACTTTTATCCCTATGATTCTATGTTGCTAATTCTAACACTAAAGAAACTTAATGTTCTGAGTCAACCATTTTGAAATGTAAATAGCAAAAACAACAAAACCTTAAAAATCTGTAGGCATTTTTCAAAATGCAAACAATATTTTTTCAAATTGCTTTAACTATTTCCAAATTTATAAGTAATGTATTAATGGAAATAATTATTTTACTTATGCCTCACATTACTTTAAAAAAAATAAAGAAACTATCCAGCGGATGTTTACAAAAACAAAACAAATTTAGGGACTATGGAGTCAGTTACAATTGTGATTTAAGAGAGTAACTACAGAACCAAGTTTATGTAGCTCTCATTTATTTTAGACAAGTATCTTAAATTAAACGCTTTAAGTGCTGATGCACTTTGATTTATTTTAATCCTTGGTGTATAACAGTAGTAGTATAAGTGGGACATACCAATGTGGTTAATGTTTGGTGTGAAAGCAGAAACCCCATGGAAGAGGCGATGGGTTAAGGTATTATTTTTCTGATTCCATTTGGACAAAAATTAATTTTAAAAATAATTAAAGGTATGTAGATCTAAATGTTAATTATATAATAAAATACCTTCTAGGGGCATAGCCATTAAACATTAAATGGATTTTAAACAAGAAATATGAAGAACGCTTTCATTGATGAGCTTTATAGGAGACTATAATTTCATCTATGAAGACATGTAACATCTGATGTTATTTTCCCACTCAGGGAATCTATGAGAAAATGAGATGGTGATTTTCATCCTACATTTCTAATGTTATCAAGACATAGAATTTACTCAGTCAGTATCTTGTCTTAAACACACAGACAAATTGAGAAGATTTCAGAAAGAAGAAACACATTAATCGTGAAGACATATTTTTTTAATTTCAAGTTTTATATAATTAAGAAGTACTTGTAGAGGGCCGCCTGGGAGGCACCTAGGCATTTTCTTATAATTATTGTCAGCTGAACTCAGAGCATAGGCAGCCACGCCCTGGGAACATGCTTCCCCAATAAGGCTGGACATGTTAATCAGGCAGGGGCGGAACTAGATATGTAAATCTAGGCCTTTAAAATAAACCTGCTGTGTGTCTCAGGCCGCTTTGCCGCCTTTCCATCAGAGAGGATGGCGCCCACCTAGCCCCAGCTTAAAATCTATTTCTGCATCATGGTCTTTCTTTAATTTCTTAATCCCCAGCTCCTCCGCTCAAGAACCTGTCGTTTTCCCGTGCTGGTCACGGGAAACAGAAACAGCCCACCACACTAATAACATGTTGGGGATGTAAATATTAGACCAATTTTTAGTTTTCACTAAGCAGGTTTACCTGTTCAGTCTCTGTGGAATTCTCCGATAGAGAGGTGATCAGAAATTCCTGTCTAAATATTCATGGCAAAAAGAAACAGAAACCAAAAGCATGCCCCTGTGGCAAAGAGCCTTGGAAAGCAGAGTCTACTAAAAAAGTAACATCAACCCCTGTATCTTTCCAACATGCCTTTGCCCTCACAACCTTAACTCTAAAGGAATCAGCTTGAACTTGCCTTTACAATCTCCCAATTAGGCATATAGGAGAGGAACCACAGGTGATCCACAGGTATGGCCAGAATCTGGCTGGTGTAGAGTTGCTCTGGGCCCCTTGAAAAGTAGAGGCGTTCACAGTCAGGTGCCACTTGCAACCACTGAACTGGTGGACTTTTTGTGTTTATTTGCCTCCCAAGTAACTAATTTCCCATTATTTAAGGCCAAGTTAGAGAGCACTGTCATTCCCTTCTCTTTTTTAACTGCCAGCTTTTTGGGCTGCTTGATCCTTAATTAGCACTCCTTGAAGATGAGAATGCTGCTGCAAAGGGCAGGTGTGACATTGGAGAAAACCTTGTGGATTCTGGAAGATTTATGATCGTGAAATTGGTGGACAAAGGAGCTCATCTATCAGATGGTGTCTCCTACGATGCCTACATATTTCACATGTTTATGCATAAGGAAGCTAAGGAAAGCTTACCTGGAAATCTTTGAATTATTTGACATAAGCCTTCCTTTCTGCAAAGCTGATGCTGTATTTCTGGTAATATGTTTACCTGAAAGGAATGAAAAAGATTCTAGTGAGCTGGACATTCATAAATGCTCGGGCAAAGGGAACGCCATCCACACCCTGCCCTCAGCCTCTGCAAGTCAACATTTAGATCCAGAATAAAGATTGGTCTATTTGGTAACATAAAATTAAAACCTGGCCCTTAGAAATCTTCAAAATATTTGGGAATACTTTTGAAAACCTTGATTTATTTCAAAGCCATGATATTTGCTAGAAATAAAAGGGAATACTATGTCCTTACGGCAAACAGAGCAACACAAATAACTTCATAGTTTCAAATTTAGCTTTGGCAAAAAAATAGTACTAAGCATAACATACCTCAATGTAAGTCAACTACAGTGCAACATTCCAAGGTCCCTCGGTGATTTCAATCACAGACAGTGGAAATTCAGTGCTAAACCTATTTCAAAACTCCATCCCTACTTTTCACTTCGTACTGAAGGGCATTATTGCTTCCAGAGATAAAGCCCAGCTATCACAAAACTCTACTTTAACAAAAATTTGTTCTTAAAAAGCGAATTCAAATATGTACTTTAACTTGAAAAGGTACAAACAAGCTAATTCTCTCCCCTCCTGAATTTACAGATTGGCTAGCTAGCTATTATCAACAAAATCTCAAAAATAATTCCAAATATGGTACAGCCTTCTTAAAGCCAACAGAGAGATATAAGTGTAAATTACTTTGAATATCCGTGAACAATTAAACAATTATCGATTACTCTCAAACTAATTCACTCTACTAAAACACTGGAGTTTCTCTACTTGGTCTTGCTTAGATGAGAGGATGAGAGGAACGCAGTTGCAGTTGGAGAAAAGCGAGGGAACCAGGGACAAGGCTTGTGGTCCCACTTCTCCCACCAACAGAATAACCTTGAGTCCATCACTTGGCTTCTCTTCCTCGCTCTCTCAGTTTGTAAAATAAAGCAGTTAGAGCCTTAGGTCTTTAAGTTCCACTTCTGCTCTTAGATAGTATCAACCCAATAATTCAATCATAGTTCTAGTTTTGTTTTGTTTTGTTTTGAAATGTATTTGTATTGGCTTCAGGGAGGAAGGGAGAGGAAGAAAGAGATATAGTTTTGTTTTGTTTTGTTTTGAAATGTATTTGTATTGACTTCAGGGAGGAAGGGAGAGGAAGACAGAGATATAAACATCAATAATGAGAGAAAATCATTGATCGGCTGCCTCCTGCAGGCCCCCTACCAGGGACCGTGCCCACAACCCGGCATGTGCTCTTGACCAGAATAAAACCGAGGACCCTTCAGTCCTCAGGCCAACGCTCCATCCACTGAGCCAAACCAGCTAGGGCTTATTTTGTTTTTTGATGGTTCATTTAAAAAGCACCTTAAGCTTTGAAACAATGCATCAGTTATTCTCCAACCATCCCAATCCTGTTACTGCCTCTTCATTTATTCAGTAAAATGCAAACTTCAGCCCAGGTCATCTATGAATGAAGCCCAGACTTCAGCAGAACCCACTCTGAAATCTGCACCAGCAACATTCCTAAACGCTCCATTTGAAAGTCTACAGAGATACCAAAATCTGAGCCACTTATGTTCTTCTTGCACTGGGAACTGAGAAAAGGCTGTACATATAGTGCTTGATAGACTTTAGAGATCTACATTTCTTAAATTCCAAATATGACAATTCAGAGACTAAATGTAGGGGAAAAAAAGGTTTCATAAAATCCTGAAGTTTTCCATTCAGAATTCCTAAAGCAGGCTGGAGGTCAGGGACAGAGCACTGCAAAAATATGGGAAATTCATACCAAATGTTTGAGGTTTTTTGGATTTTTTTCTTAAGCTAACATATAAAAGCATCTTTCAGATGTAAAAAAAGCTTCTAAAGGCAATAAACTTGAACCATTTTCCCCCACAACAGGCAAAATGACTGGGCTGCTATTGACTAAATAAAATCTTTCACAATAGAAGGACCCAGAAAGAGAGCCAGCATCAGGGAAGTGACATGAAAGACTATGTACTGGCACAGGTCCGGCTTCAGACCTTCTCCCACTGCTTGAAGGGTTCGGAGCAGATGTGCTGTCATTGCAAATGCTTAAAGCATCCTGGGTCCCATCGTCTGCTACAAACAGGATGGAACAGAAGCCTTGGTAACATGAGTTACAAAACTCATGGGCCAAAAAGCTTTGTGTAGATGCTGCAAAGATAGTGCACAGCGTGCACAGCCTTCACGTAGAAGGTACTTTGCTGTGTCTCATCAGAGAGATGACTTTTCATTTGAGGCCTTGGATCAAAAGGATGGCCTGACTCAGGGTCAACAAAGCACTTGCTCCAGAAATTCAGAGCCAAGCCAAGGGAAGTAACTACTCACCCCCTCCCGCCTTCCATTTTCCCAGCCCTCACCCAGTGACCTCTTCCCATGCTCTTTCCTCCAAAGTAAATCTTTGGAATTCAGAGTCACAGCAGATGACATAATCATGGTGACACGTGACACCAGAAATATCATCTCCATTCTAATCTGGAACTGAGCCACCAAACTAAGCAGTTAAACTAAATGACTCAGCACAAAGAAATAAACACACTCCAGGGCTGGGGTCACACGGCTATGGCAAATCATCTACATGACACATATTTTAACTTTTTAATTGCTAAACCTAACAACGTTTTTCTGTCTCGAGTGCTTTATATTCTTATTTTTTTATGTACATCATAAAATTTATGATTTGCATCACGGTATCAACTGGAACATCATCAAAGGAGTTTTTACTGGGTTAGCTAACTTTTATAAGATGAGCTTCTCCAGCTTCAGACTGCAATAAATATTTTTATCAGGCTTTATTTTGGGGGAAGTTCACCCACCGCCCCCACACATGCACACAACCTCCCCATTATCAGCACCCCCCACCCTTCGAGTGGTGATTTTGTTACAATTGATTAATCTATATTGACACATCCTAATCACCCAAATAGTCATTTCTATACCCATTTTTTTTTCAAACATATTCTACTGATTTTTCACAGAGAGGAAGGGAGAGGAACAGAGAGCCAGAAACATCGACGAGAGAGAAACATCGATCAGCTGCCTCCTGCACACCCCCCACTGGGGATGTGCCTGCAACCAAGGCAAACGCCCCTGACCAGAATCGAACCCAGGACCCCCCAGTCCACAGGCCGACACTCCATCCACTGAGCCAAACCGGCTATGGCTCTATACCCATTTTGTACTGGGTTTGAATGCTTTACAAATGTGTGTGTGTGTGTGTGTGTGTGTGTGTGTGTGTGTGTTTATAGACTGCTGTTCTGATATTTTTCTTAGCATAAAATCTTTCATATCTTTGAAAGAATTAGAATGAATATAAAATGATAATGACATTTGAGCCTGGGACATTTCTGAGATCAAATTGGGACAAAGGAAATGTGCATTTATTTTTTTAATATATTTTTATTGATTTCAGAGAGGAAGAAAGAGATAGAAACATCAATGATGAGAGAGAATCATTGAGTGGTTGCCCCCTGCACGCCCCCTACTGGGGATCGAGTCCCAATGCCCTTGACCTGAATCAAACCCACAACCCTTCAGTCCACAGGCCAACACTCTATCCACTGAGCCAAACCGGCTAGGGTGGAAATGTGCATTTAAAAAGATTTCAATCTCAACATATCTTCTACAACCATAATCAGTGATAATCTCTATCCAAATTATTTTTATTACATATATTATCAGAATCAAAAGTAAAAAATCATTCTTAGTTGAAACCTTTAATTAATAAGTTCAACAGTATAATATTCATTATAAACATTTAAAAGGTGTTTAAAATAAAATTTAAAAAAAAACTGACACTACAGTAACTCATTAAGGAGAATAGGCATTTAAATGTAGACTATTTATAAAGTGTAAGAAAAGATCCAAGTAATAAAAATTTTTTGGTCACTTGTGAACAATGAGAGTACACACACTTCATATTGTATCTTAGAAACTACTCTTTTTCTTCACTAGATCTGTACAGACTTTTATTCCTTTTATTTTATCAAAAATAGGATCTCTGAAAGCTGTTCAGTATCATCCATAAGGAAAAGAATTAATGACAAGAAGAGAAGCAACTAATCAAAGAAAAAAAAGTCCTTTTATCCCCCAAGTTTCTAACACACAATTCTTCCATCAAATTCACCTGAAAATGTCCTTGCATACCTTAACAGAAGAGCCCTTTCAGTAGTTCTCAGTGCTCCAAGTAGTACTAAAAACAGCATCCTGGTTTTAGGGGTTGCTAATCCCACAAACATTTAGAGCTAGAAATCAATCCCTCAACTCAGGAAATACTAGAACCTGTCTGCGAGAGGTGAGATGCAGCCCCAGTTACTAAATTTAATGCTACCCCAACTAGTGGACCTCACTTCACTTTCAGCAACACATGGACCAATACAGTTTTAAATTTATGTTACTCTCTTCCTGACTAGAGCAACTCCTGACCATTTATTTTCTATAACAGATCGATGATCATTTTCATTAAGCACTTAAATTCCAAACCTCTGACGTGTAATTTTAATTTGAACAGATGCCTTTTCTTTGTCCACTTTACAGTCTCTGACAATCCCACAACATCATCAAGCGATTTGAAACAACTGTTTTGTTTTTTTCTTTATTGTTGAAAATATTACAGATGTCCCACTTTCTTTTTCCCCCTCACCCTACCCAGGCCTTCACCACATTATTGTCTATGTCCATGGGCAATGCATATATGCATACAAATTCTGTGGTTAATCTCTTCCCACCTCCTCTCATCCCTCTGAGATTCATCAGTCTGTTCCATGCTTCCATGCCTCTGGATCTATTTTGTTCATCCTTTTATTTTGTTCATTATATTCCACATTGAAGTGTGATCCTGTGATATTTGTCTTTCTCTATCTGGCTTATTTGCCTTTCCAGAATCTCCAGGTCTCCCCATGCTGTCTCAAAGGTAAGAGATGCTTCTTTTTTACAGCGGCATAGTATTCCATGGTGTAAATGTATCACAGCTTTCTTATCCACTCA